TCTCATGTAAATACCTCTCACAGAAATGCAGAACGATTTAATTTCACCCATTAGAAGTATGACAAAAATAACTCGTCATCTAAACACTTCCCAGAGAAAGATTCTCAAATATGGTTTTACTGGAATTTTTTTCTTGTGCTTCTGTATTCTCCATCTTCAGGAATGGAAAATGGGCATGCTTACTCACTCATTTTTTTTCCTCCTTTAATTCAAAACAATTTCAATACTCATTAAAATGTTTGGTTGCTGGTTCTGAAGATACTCCGTAAGCATTAAACCACTGTGGAGATAAGGTTGATATAAATTCGGGAACAGATTAGGGGAACTACTCGCATTCACCTTTATGCTCTTCTGGCTTTAGTATTAAAGGCAGCCTGGAGGTCAGAGGTATCAAAACAGTGGCTTTCTTGATGCACAGATCTGGCTTCCTAATCAAATCCTGCAGAAATAAAGCTTGCACTTAAAAAAAAAACATTCTGGACATTTACCCATAAAAAACTTCTTGGAGTGACTTTGCTACATGGGTTTTGCTTGTCACTACAGTGCTAGGGCTGGTATAAATAGCTCGGATTTACCACGGCAGCTTGTTAACTCTCAGCTGCACGATGAGCCTCTACGGGTTGATTTTCTAGGACCGGAGCAGGGAATCGCAGCCTGGATAGTGTTCCTGCTTCAGGGATGGGATAATGGCCTGGCTGTTCAAGGCAGCCGTGGGCTGGAAGACAAACCTTCCTCCAGAGAGCTGTGCTGACGGGAACATTAATGTTTATTGCGCTTGTTGAGTAAATAAAAGCCTTGTTCTGCTCCTGAATTGCCTACGGCTCCGTTGTACAGCCCAGTGCATTGCGCTGCTGCCAAGACCCTTGCTGTGCGTCCAGGTCCTATACGGCCCTGCATCATAAATGGTGATTTTCCATCATTTTATTGCTCGTAATTGGAAAGTTGGCCCAGAACTCCCTTCAGAAGAGACTGTTGAGCCCTGTACCCATTTACAGCACTTCCACTGCCCTTAGGAAAGGATTTGCCGGTGCTTTGCACACTGGCGATAAGGCTCGGCACATTATTTTAGGTTCTTATACAGAGCTATTCCTATTTCTGGTGTGGCTGGAGCTTTCTGGTTTGAGGGTCTATTGAGTTTGCAGAATATGATAAATCGGATTTTTGTATTTTCATCTCTCTTGACAACGGAAAGAAATTTCTACAAGGAAACAGATTTTTTTAATTATAGGTCTGACAGCTACCTCCAGTTCCAGTTTCTCCCATCCATAACACGCTCTGGGGAGATTAGCCACGTTGCCAGGTGCTGGCTCATAGCTCCCCTTATATCTGAAGTAACAGACTGTGCTTCCAGCATTAGGAAGTGTGGCCAGATACTTGAAGCCTTTTATTTAGTAAAAACTAGCAGAAGCTGCCAGGAGATAGACAGCAATATATTTGATAGTCTCTCAACTTTTTTTACTTCATAGTGCATTTCATTAGAAACTCACAGGAGCTCTTCAGTTAATAACGTGTCAGTCTCCAAGGGTGGTCAGGACCATCATCCCTTTGCCTGAAGATCTCTCCACCCACCCAGAGATGTCCTTGACCACCGTCCTGGCCACTCTCCTCCCCTCATTTGGATGGGATCCTGGTCCTGTGCCCAAAAGTGGATATTGAAAAGAATGAGAAATCCACACTTTTAGCAGAGGTTACGGATTTCTGTTTGCCCTGGGTGGAAAAGCCAAGCCAAACAGCACTGTGGCAGGGTGATGTGCCAGGCAATCACAGGCGTAAGGCAAGGTGCTGCCGAGAAAGGGGCAAACCCACTGCTGGAAACACCGCAACAGTGAGGGGCTCCCATGCTGCAGCTTCCCCATCCAGCATCTCCAGGCTCTTGCAACCGGCATCGCCTTGAATTTGGAAAAAAGCAGCACTGGGTGCCCCATCAGCAGCAGGGAAAGCTGTGAAGTTGGCACGTAGGGATGTCAATTTGCTGGTGACTCAGTGTCTGATTTATCCCGTCCATGCGATGCTCCTGCAGGAAAAGCTTATTAATCAGGTCTGCGTTTCCAATGCAGCTCCATGATTTAGGGTTCCCCATGACTAAAGTTTTGGTGACAGTGAAGTTATTACATGCCTTGGTGACTTCTGGAAAGGGCTGGCAGGCTGGGGAGAGGTACTGAGGTGGCACGAAGGGGTCTGTAACGTCTCAGGACCCTGAGAAGGAAAAGCCCACCGGGGCTGAGCACAGGTCAGGGAGTGCTGTGAAAATGGGCTGCTGTTGCAATATTCATAGGAGAAAGCTAGAACCACGTCATGCTTAGAGGAGAGGGTCCCACTGTCCAGCCCCCCCCAGCACAGTGTGACCTTCTCTGGCTGCTGGCACATTTCCCCTGGCTGCGAGGTACAGCTCAGTCACTAATTTGGGGCTCCCTGTTGATGTTGGCTCTGGTACAGCGGTGGTTTCTATGGCAACTCCAGAGGTGGATGCAGGGATGGCTTCAGCAGAGGTACCGCCAGCCCAGGTATCCCAGGATGTTCCTGACAAAACGCAGGCAAATGGACACGCAGCACATCGGGACAGACCCTGCAGTCACTGTGCTGGGCAGGCAGTGGAGGCGATGGGGCAATGACACCAAAAACATCTTGCAAATGCTCTTTTCTGAATCGTTTCCAACTTTCCCCATGCCGCGACACCCCTGGCAGACATCGCAGCCTGCCCCACTGGCGTGCTGGATGCTGCCGCACTCTAAAAAATACTCCCGTCTCTCTGGCCCTGCTACCCACCCGAGGATCACACCAGCTGTCTTCTCCAAAAGGTCAGACATCTGCACTTGATATTTACCTGGACCTGTGAGATCTTTCTAATGTTGTATCAGTGAAAGATCGAATCCCTCGCCTGTATCAGCTACCACCGCTCTCTGCTTTGGGGAGCGTGACTCTGCATGAAGCCAAGACCAACGAGGCTCAGGTGAGCTCACAGCACGGGCAATTGGGGCAGTTACCCCCCCACTGGTCTCGCTGTGCACCCCTAAACGTCATCCACGGACACCACCGGTACGGAGCTTACCTTCCCTTCCTGGCGTCGGTAAGCGGGAGATGCGGTGTTCCTGCCTGGGGCAGCTGGACACAGCCAGACCCGGCTCTCCCAGGCACCAGCCACACTCCATCCTTTGAGACAGGGCTGTGGGGCTGGATGGGGCCCAGGACCCCCGGCATCATCAGGCATCTCCTCTTATTTCTCAGCATCCTAACAGCCCTCACCATTCCCTGCTCTCTCTCACACGCCAGCTCCCTCCAACAAAGCCCTTCTCCTGCTGCTGCCTTCACCTCTCACAGCCCCTTCGCCCACAGGAGAGGCCGAGCAGGAGCAAGGCTGTGCCGAGGCAGGGCAGCTGCCGCTCAGCTCTCCCTCTCCAAAAGGAGGGCCGGATCCCTACATCACATTGCTCCGCTTGCTCTGGCAGTGGGGAAAGGAACAAGAGCCGTCCCTGCCCCAAAGCACAGGGTCCCGCTAGGGAAGGGCTCACCAGGCTCTCCCTTGGGAGGGGGTTTCCCAACAGGATGCGGCATGTCCCTGTCTGAAGCAGGACAACTAGGGACAACACAACTCCAGGGGGGGTAAAATTCCACATATTTCATTTATTTGAGGTGCTACGTCACCTCCTAGGCACTGAGCTACAGGGCACCTCTGTGCTACATGAGACATCGACTGGGTCTACGACGACACAGCATTCACTGCTACACACATGGCACGGACACGCCGCGGCACGGATGGGGCAGGACAGGGC